TGTGAAGCCAAAGCCTGAGAAGGTGATTAAGATAAGCCTTGGTACTGAAGAGAAGCCCGTGAGAAAGAAAAAGGAAGGAGAAGGATCTACAAAACCAACTCTTGCTTCTTTCGAGACTGCTGGAAGAGAAGAAGAAGAAAAGACAGAAAATGTGCGCTATTTGATCAATTTCTTCTCTTATTATACCAGCTTTCTAAATACTTTTACTAATTTTGCTATTTTTGAAAAATAAACCCGCAAGGAAAACCTAAATCTTAACTTGGAAATCTAAAATCTTACTACGTATTATGGCGTGCCATAGATGTTGCCTCCTTTATATGAGACCATGAAACATCGAGCACCAAAAAGGGTAATCGCAATAAACATCGCCATAAAAGGTAATTACTGCAGGTGGATTGTAAACAGTGGAAACTGATCCGCAAATCCGAGCGAACCCACACCGTGGCAGTTGTACGTAGTTGCTGATGGTGAAGGTCACTGATTCGAACTAAAAGCATCACATAAATGCAGAAGGTTTTGACGCCATCGAACAGTTTTACCGTGTTGTAATTTTTCGATCCAAAGTATCCATAACGTGCTTGACAGTTGGCATTTCTCTGGGCAGAACTTGATCCACATGGCAATTAAACGCCGTGATACGGTTATGACGATCACACAGCACCCACGAACAGAGAGTTTTGTAGTTTATCCATCATGAAAAAAGATATGCTAATCCTGGGATTACAGCAGGGTTTTCTTCGCGGGAGCCATGTCGAAGATGCATGGCATTTTGGTGGTATCCTGCTCATGCGGCATCAGTAATAAAGTTGGCCTGGGTTGGGCTCGGTACTGTGTTTTACCATGCTTTCAAACCTCGATGTAGAGTTTCAGTTCAAAATATATTCAAATTCAAACTCGGTATGAATCATAAATTAAACACCTCTAGGATGTTTGGATTTTTTTAATTTAAAATAGAACTTTTTTTATATTTTCAGGTTACCGGCAATTAATGTATCTGTTACACACATAAAACAGCCATTAGTATTTGTTGGTGGTTATTGTGAAATTACAAACTCTATAGTTTTTATAAATTACACTTTACATCCACATCAAACAAAATATATTATTGAAGATATAAACTGTTATTAAATATATAAATGATATAATTAAAAAAATATAATTTATAGAAAGAAAAAGAAAAAGAAAAAGAAAAGTTGAAGTTTAGATCTATCAAATCACATGAGAGTTTTGTAATTATCCCTATTAATAATAAAAGGGTCTTCAACATCAGTTGTTTATGTTCTAAGATTGGGTTACCTAACGTACTTTTTTCATGGGAGTTTAGCTATCAGCAATCCAAGTTATGTTAGTTAAGAAACACCATCAGTGATTTAACTGCAATAGGAAAAAAAAAAAGCATGAATAAATTAAACAATATAATATACAAAATTGAAAAGGAATAGGACCATCTATTGTTTAATGCTTTAGTTTAAGAGAACAAAACCAGGTCAGCCCATTTTGACGATATATACAATGAAAATGCCCTCGCTCGATGACTGAACCAGATGCCAGCACGAGACGCCTGTGGATGGAAGGGACACATCAAATGATTGTCACCAAGGCTCCCTCCAATAACTTGAACTTTCCTTTTGATTATACTTGACCATTGCTTTAAGTACAATTTGCTCTATAAAAAAACAATTATTCTTGTTCCTCAAGCTTAAATATATTATAGGAGGATAACACTAAATCTTTGCCTTTGAGTACAGCTGGCTAAAAAGGCATCACTATCATTTATAAACTAATAAAACCTTAATTGATGACACCAAATGACCCCCACTTCCTAGCCTAGCCAACCCTCGAAAGGGGCACTTCCCCTCCATGATCTTGGATCAAGGAACAACAGGATGTACAGCATGAAATTGCCGCTCGAGGTTAAAAAAAGAAGAAGAAAGATCGCCACTCAAGGCAAAAGCCGAAAAATCTGTGCAAATCCACTGGCAACTGGCGAGCTTCAGACCCCTCCATTTAACTTATGATCTAACTGTCAAATTGGATGCTTTATTGTCTCCTCGTACAGACTACAAGAGAAAAGGGCCTCGAGAATTATAAGAGGTGTCTTTATCTGAGATTCTTTCTAATCCAGCTCTCGATAAGTTTTAACTACTTCTGTTAAAAGAGTCTACGGGATCTTGTTATGCTGTCCTTTTAACGTAATAAAGAAGTATCTCGGGTGGATAGAGAAATATCTTGTTAACAAGAAGAACACAATTAGCTGATAATGCAGCAACAAAGCTTTCAAGACTTGATTGTGCCTTTGACAGCCTCCCTCGATGTTGTCTTAGCTCAATGCTGCCCCCAATAAATCATAATAATTACTATATGTTATTCTCACCTTCCAATTTGTAGTATTATATCATTTCCGGACTTGTCAAGTTTGACTGACTTTACTTCTTTATTGTTCTCTTCGTCAGGAGTTATTCAACTACCAGTAAGATTTCTTCGCAACAAATTGCATCCCGAGACTTTCCGATCCTCAGGCCATTCATTGGCTCATAGTATTGCCGAATTCATTAGTGATTAGTTGTTTGAACATACTATCTTATTTGTCTTATCTGAACTCACAAAGGCCCCTCCATTTCCCCCACATTCTCTATATGTGAGAAAATAGCCAGAAGATCATATATATGATAGTCACCGGTGACACATCTAATGGTTGCTATCATCCTTTGTACTGTCCATATACCAGTCAACCTCACAAGCAAAATAGTAAGTCACCGGTCAAGTTAATTTTTAACATAAAAAAATATTGATATTATAAATGTGTTTCCATGTTTCATGTTTTTAATTAAAAAATGAAAAAAAATGCTAACTTTTAATAAAATAAATTAAAAAATATATGTGAATCAATAAATCAAAAGGTAATAGTTACCGTTAACTAAATATTAAATCAGGAAACTAATCTTTCTAGCGAGATAAAATATATATATCAAAACACATTCTAATTAAAAAGAAATTAAAAATAATCATGGATCCTAACGTTTTCTTTTTTTCAATAGGTAAAGGCCACCACCACCTTCTCTCATGAGAAAAAAATAAAGTTTGAGAGTGAATTGTAAAATGCTAAAATAGCATGGACTAAATAATATATAAATGAAGACTTTAAGGACTAAATGAAAGTTTTCCATACCAAAATGAAAATAGGGTCATTTTTTTTTAAAAAATTGATTCTTATTTTTTTAACTAAAACCTAAAATTTTATTTTGTGAAATTAATATTTAATTTACTGTCAAAATATTCCTGGTGTACGCATGCAAAACAAAGGAAATCTTAAAATATAAAACCCTTGTAATATAAAATATACAATCACAAAGAAAAAAAATTGCATAACCAAAATGTATCCAGGTGGACACGACATCACTCTACTTTTGTCCAAATCTTTTAGTTTTTCTACGACATCACTGTACTTTTGTCCAAGTCTTAGTTTTTCTTACAGTATGATTATAATTATAATACTTGATTGGATTTATTGTACTCTCATATTAACCCGACATAAATTGGTTAGGCTATTCAGATCTGGTGAAGTCTAAAATAACAGCATCGGCAAAATGCACGCTAGAATTGAATAAAGTATTAGAAACGGATCCGCAAGATTCAAATTTAATGATAGAATGCTTGTAGACAGTTGCCGTTATTAGGATTGTGGCAACCTCCGACCAACAGAAATCTACGAGTCATTAAAGATGAATCCTTCCTTCCCCTGAGTAATTTCACCATCAACCCTTGATTGAAAATCACATACTACCAAATCGGATTGTATTATGGATGACGAGTAGATGATAAAAGCATATTCACTCAACAAAATCAGGTGGTAGATATTACACACTCTAGCTGAAAACTGTTCTAGAGGATAGAATATGACTATGGATTTGGCAAAATTTTGCACCAAGAGTACTAAAAATTACAGAAGGATCACAGAATCTGTAATTATATGATTTCTATGCACTTAAATGCTTCCATCCAGTGATGCACTTAGAATAGAAGTTAATTGTAATAATTTTTTTAGGGTGGATACAACATAAGAAATGCATTCTCCTTTGGCATCCTAAATGAAATCATTCATGGAAAATACCCAACATAAGTCGTGCCAATGTCAAAGGGGAAAGCAGGCTTCCCCAAATAATAACCAGACGGAAAGCATCATGTGGCTGTCAAGCTCAGAGCGGTGAGATGGGTTGTCAAGCCATGTCAAAGGGGAACCAGAAATCTCACTTTTGATTTGTGTTTCTCTAATGAAGTGATAAATGAGCAGTAGCGCTCTATTTTATTGTGGACTCGCTACCTAATGACGTTGATTTTCAACATTATCGAACTATGGGCTATCGACTAGGGCCCAGCAAGTCAAAATAAGATTGCCATTGGCTTGCTGTTTATCAAACTAGATCATGGGGGGG